CACAGTTCCTCCAGTAGTTGGTTCTTAAAGTGAGCTGCTATATCACTGATTAGAATCTTCGGCATGCCCTAACGGCTGCTCCAATCAAGAATGGCCTTAGCCGCAATCGCAGCATCCGTGTTCTTGCACTCAATCAGCTCACAGATGTGAGAAAAGTCGTCTTTCATCACTAGAAGGTAGGTTTTGTTGTTGTTGTACTCGCCTATGTAGAGATAACCCATGTGCAACGCTTCATTTCTCTCCTTGGAGCGATACATTTCTCCCCACGGTCTTGGTATTATATCCCCCCCCCCCTCTCTTGACGTGGCAACACAGCAGGCAACTTGTGCAAAATTCGCGCGCATATTGTTCCAAGTTCTCGATTTTGAAGTGCTTTTTGAGGTGGTTGATCATCACCTTCACCCCTCGATGGCCCATTGTTCCGCAATGGGCGATCACCATCAGCCGAATCAAAAGTGCTTCCGCATCAGGCGGGATCCATAGTCGGTTCATATCATCTCGCCATCCACCATCCGTATCCTCTTCTAAGCAGGTTGGCCGTGAACTCTTCGTTTCTTTTTGGGCTATGTGAATATCATCAGTATTTGGCCAGGCAGAGTCGGGACCAAGCGGCCGAAGCTGAGAAATCCCTTGTACAGCTTCTCCTGTCCATCGTTTCATCGACATCTGCGTATCTACTACGCTGGTACACGCCCAGCGTGAGGCCATGTCGGCCCAGACGTTTTCTTCACCGCTGATGTGTTCAATGGTGTATCGAAGCTCATTGAGTTTGAGACCCCACCGTTGTAATTTGCCGCGAACATGCTTTTTAATTCCATCGCCTGGTGCAAACAGGAAAATAAGATTCCGATGATCGGAGTACAAACGAAATCATTTTGTACGTATCAACATGTAATCCAAATCAGTTGCTGCCTTAATGATCGGGTACGCTTCTTTCTCTGATACACTCCAGTGTTGAGAAGCTCCAGTGAACGTCCCACTCATGCAGTGTACTAGCGTGTGATGTTGCTCAGTAATGTCGACGGATTCCAATCCTGCACGGCAGTGATGATAATGCTCCATCCAAGGTCGCTAGCGTCAGTCATCAAACAGATCTCATCTTGGTCATCGGGGGTCACCAACGTGGCCGAATTAGCGAGAAGTAGCTTTGCTTGGGCAAAACTCGCGCGTTCTTCTTCGGTGAGAGTGATGTACAATCGGGCTGCAACTTGTTTCGTTCGTTTCGTAATTACTAGTATCTCTTGAAGTCGATTCTGCAAGGATGCCACCGTGCGAGCGAAGTCAACTAACGAATTACGCATCCATCCTGCCGCACATACAAACTGTTGCAGCTCGGCAGCCGTTGTCGGTTCGGGCATATCAATCAGAGTTTGTATCATGGCAGGATCGTAGGCTACACCATCGCTGGTAATAATACGACCACACCATTTCGCATTCTGGGTATACAGGCACACTTTGTCGAGACCCAAATACAGACCATACTCAGCTAGAGTACTGTATACTCGATCGAGTACCTCGAGAAATTCATCAATGGTATTACCGTAGATCAGCAAATCGTCCACCCATGCTAGGACATGTGCAGAAGCTTTTTTTTTTTTTTCGCGGAGAATCTTCTCAACCGACCGCTGAAAATGAATCGACGAATCAACCGATCCTTGTTGGAGTCGAGTCGGTGTGAAAATATCATCATCCGTTATGTACGACTGGGATTCTTGGCTAGTTAGCGCGAGTGCCATTTGCCAAAAGCTTGATGAAGTCCACTGTTTGCTTGTGTTTTTTTGTGCTTGACGTGCTGCAGTCGGGTACTAAGACTCGGCATCGAACCAGCTAATGGTATAACACGAGAATTGACACGTCGAAAATCAACTGCTTGTCGAAGTTCATGTGCTTTTCCAGGCTTTTTAACCGGTCGCGCAGGACTTGCCCATCTACTGGCTTCATTCCGGGATACCCAGCCTTTCTCCACCAGCAACTCGTTAAATTGCTTCATCCACTCACGTTCATGTGGAGCATACGTCCTTGGTTTGCATCGAATAGGCTGCGTTCCTTCTTTATACTGTATCTCGAACGGTTCAATTTTTGACGGCGGGTCATTGCCGATAGTAAGCCGCCAAATATCATATCGCGTAGCAACCTCCAACAGATCCCGCTTTCTTTCTGCTGGAAACCCGTTTGCCACAGCCTCGTTAATCAGTTCACAAAGGCGGGCAATAATTCGTTTCTTGTCAGGCGGATCAAAGCTCAAAGGGACCATTTACTCAAAAGGATCATAATCCACCACTTCTTTATTTGCCAATGCTGCAAGTTGATCATCAACATCAATCCCTAGAGTCTTCAGAGCTAAACTTCCCAAAAGAAATTCATCTTCGTCAGTCTCCGTGATTATGCATGTTACATCACGCATCCTCACTTTTCCGCCAACGTAAGCAGCTACAGGTCCAGTCTAATTGACTCGTTGCATATGATAATTGCGCCTCCAATCGCTTTGCCTTCAATCGGGGTCGAGAGCCTCTGCGTTTTCACATTGCAACACACTTGTTGGATCGCTTCAACTATACGTCGAGGAACGACGTTGTACTTCGTACCATTGTCGGTATGATATGGCATCGTTACTGCCTGGTTGAATGCTACATGCTTTGGCTCGATCTGTCCACTTTCGCTGATTAATCGTTTCATCTTCGCAGTCTCACCTTCTTTACGTTTCTCCATAAAGAGTCTTCGTGCAGTCTTCTTCTGCTCTTCAGTCGCGGTTGGGCAATCATTAACCCAATGTGACCCTTTGCAATGCAAACACCCTTGTGCTGGAACGCCATCACGTTTTCAGAATGACGGTCGCTCATCTCGACGTTCATCACGTGCAGGAGTTGATCGACTACTTCTTTGAGATGTGTTGCTCTCACGGTGTGTCACCCGAGCTGTCGATTTGGCCTGGCTTCTATCCTTATTTGACAGATAGAGATCGAACGACTGTTGATTTTTGAGCGCTTCTGCCTTAACTACGTCAAATAACCGCGTCACACTTGTCGTCACGGTTGGGTCAAGGTCCTGGTAGCGCTGTACTTGTTCTTTCAGCGTTGGCGGGTGCAAAATTATCCGTGAGTAGTTTGCACTTCAACTTGTCATTACCATCCAATGCGATACTGAGTCCGTATTCCTCGATGAGCTCATCAAAACGATCAAAGTAATTTAGCACTCGAGCTTTGACATCTTTCTGCTTCAAATCCATCTTCAAATGTTGACTCATTATGACGTCCACATTTGGTATCTGATCGTTCATCATGCTGCCTACGATCTGGTTAATAGCCGTGACCAGCTTCTCGTTGGCCATGTCGTCTACATGAACCTTCAACTCGAGTTCACTAAATGTCTTTAGCCGACGTCTGTTAATTGCTTTGATCGCCGGGATCATTACGGTCGCTAGAGTCTCACCTGATTCCTGGCAGCGGGAATGAACCGCAGCTTCGTACAGCTCTCGCTCGCGTCTCCACTTGACCAGAGCCTCGTGCAAAAAACAGATGATCTCAGGCGGTTCCATCGCTGTCCACAGCTTCGTCGTAGCTTGTGTCGTCGCTTCGCCATCTTCACCAGCCGTGTTCACTCGGCTTCGTTTCTGCTGGGGCCGACTCATGGGGCCCGGCACTTGGATCGGTGTCCACAGATAAAGTTAACTTTGTAGTGTCTTTCGACCCTAAATGCGTTGCTTGAGAATTCGACTCGTTATCTTGGAGTTAAAATGAATTCTGGTATTCAATGCATCCACTGCAGCCTCTGCCACAGTGGTTTCAGCTTATCTCGTGCTTCCTAATGTATGTAATATAGTGAGGTCAAATGATCTCATCCTTGTCCCGTACTTCCAACTGTCGTCCGTTACCTGCTGATCGCATACGAGACCTTGCTAGTCGTGTGCGATGCATCTGCTCACGTCATGAAGTGCCTTTCCGCCACTACAGATATCATAAATCTCCGTTGGCTACTTGCTGGGCACCGACAGGCGCATGGGATGCTTGAGGTGTCGCCGCAATGATTCCGAACGAAACAGTTCATGACACTATCTGATAGACTCGAACTGATGTGCTTGCACCGCAACATCCATTTTGAAAACGAAATTTTCAGAGCTCAGATGATGTAGCTGCGAAGCATGTCCATCAGATGGTTACCACCAATATCGTTCTTGTGCGGCTCGCACCGTGCGGTTACTTATGTATTACTAGAACAACGAGTCCGAATATCTGAAAGTGAATTGTGAAGCAACCACCATGCACAAAGGCAAGAGCTACCTGACATCCAGAGTTTATCCCTGTAAAACACCGCTTTAAAAAAATACTATTGCTTTATGGTAGCATACAAGTGAGTGCTGTTTGAGATGGTTGTCACTATCCGCCCGGCGTTGTTTAGCTTCACAATGCATCATGCATTGTAAAACTGTATCAATAATAATCAGCCCATTTCAAGCTACCGCCCTACCCTGTACACAAGACATGGTGTTCTAAAATGATATAGTGTCTGGCTCAAATTGATTACAAACTTCGTTTTAAACGCATGCCTAATAGATCACATGGTTTAAAGTGAAGGGTCTGTTTGATATTGTCAACAAAGCGATCCACGGGAGAAAATGGGGTAGTAGATAATGTTCAAAGCAGCCGCTCGTTTTATAATCGATCTCTAAACAACTTTCGCGATAAAGCCACAATATCAACAAGCATTTCACCCACAAAATAATGTGATAGTTAAGAACTGTAGCCTACCGCACTGCGAAAAGTAAACAAATTATAGCTGCAGGAGCGTAGCGCTTGAGCTGGGCTTGCTGTAGTCAGATGTTTCAGTGTTTAGAAGGTATATTGAAATACTGGATCCCGCAAACTTGCCGGTCTTCTGGTTTTGGCTGTCTGGTCGATATATAACACATAGGTGTTATAATCGAGTAGAAAACAGGAGCAGCCTTGTAAGTGTTTGGAGCGTCTACGTCTAGTATGCGGGGAAAGACAGTAGTAGTGGAGCATATTATTAGTATCGCCACGGCGCTTCTACAATCGCTTAGGTTTACAATAACAATTTGATGAGCCGAACGGTTAAAATGTCAAGGAGCATTTTTTCCCACTTTTTCATCATTCGACTCGTCTTGCAGCGCTCCTACTAGCTTCTCAAGCCAATATCCAGAGCTGTTCCACACTAATGCGCACCTTTGTGTATTTACATTTATTCAGAACCTAGCCTGCTTAGAAATTGAGCGACCAAGTTGCCAAATTGACAAGGATTAGTCGTTATATGTTCATTTAGCCGAAATATTTCCGAAATCGAGGCCGACAGATCCTAAGGGAATAGTTCCCGTAACAGACCTCAAACAAGTCAGTATAATCATAAGGTCATGAGCTCGGATAGAGTCGAGTACAATACAAAAGCACATACACCTGTACATGAATGTGTAGCAAGAGGGCTACTTGACACCTGATGCGCCTGCTTGAAGCCCATACAATAAGCGCTTTTATAATTGTAATGTCGCTGCCCATAGATCAGGGTTTTTCTTGCGTGTGCTTTGGACATTGACGTTTTGGACGTACTCAAACAGCTTTTCTATTTTAAAATAGCCGTGAAGCGATTGCCACTTGCAGATAGTGCGGGGTGGTAAGCAGGGCACCGATATACAAAATAAAGCACCCACTGGGAGGCACAGTGCGCACATACCTAAGGGCCGGTAGCATGCGCTACAAATCCTATACTGTAAAATCCGTCTTGTTTGTCGAATCGAAAAGCAAATCCGACCATTTAGAGTCGCAAATAGAATTAGACGCACCTATTTATTTATAAATTTGACTTCTCCGCGGTGATTTAGTTACCTTCAGTCATATTTTTTTTATAATGCTATTATTACACTTGGTTATGCTAACAGATTTATTTATAAATCGGTGCAGAGACAGTTCTATATATCGATATCGGGCCGAATGCCCGATGCTTTGACGGTATTCTAAGGCCGCCACATCACCATAGCAGCTCATTACTTGAAGACACAATGACTCTAGCTCGCGTTTCTATCAAAGTCGGCGTCATCACCAAAATAAGTCGCACCAACGTCAGCATCGAAAGACCAACATTCACGATCGATGAGTGTACAGACTCATATGATGTGTTACAAGTCGAGATTGATGGGGATCGTTGATTGAAATAATTGATTGGCGACTTAACTCAATCTACAGTATTATTCAAGAAATGATCATTTTAACTGGGTAAACTAAGTGGCGCCGTAAAACAATGATCCACATTCAAAATTGTTGCAATGTGATCCCAGACGATACTTAATCAGTCCCTGTGATTCTTGCTACTTTCATGCCAAGCCGACATCATAGCAGGATCTAGTGCAGTCACTCTCCTACGATTTTACTAACCAACTATACACCAGGCTTATATCCCTAGTTATCTTCTTCTCTCATTATACCCTTAGAAACCCAGACAAATGAACATAAAATCCTGCCGGAGACCTCTGTAAATTCATTTGTACAGCGAAAGACCGCTAACAGCTGTGGTGTTGTAATTCCCACGGCAACTCTAGCTACTAGTGTAGGTAGAATAAACCCACAACAATACGTTTACCAGAACG